AACGTTTGTGTAATTGGAAAAGGAAAAGCAGCCGTGGCAACGGATTGGGGCACAGAAAGAAGTCATGAAGAGCACATTTTTTTACAGCCGCCACAGACGAGGCGACTGCTGCTGTCATCGGTGTTGCCACCTTGTGAGAGAAGACTAAACAAACAACAAAAATAGCTAACTTTTGGTGAATAAATAAATGATTTTGATTTTGATGTACGTAAACAAACGCTTGTTTTTTTTCTGCTATCACTTTGCAATATATTTAATATATATTTGCATATTTGTATTTTAAAGTCAATTGGCTAATCTTGAACTATTAATTACATCCCAATGTGTGTAAACAAATGCTTTAGCTCTTGCTGCTGCTTTCATTTTGCAATATATGCAATATATTTTGGCATATTTATATTTTATAATATAACAATGCAAGGTTTGAAAATTGACCGTAATAGTCGCAGCGTTCTTACTGTTACAGTTTTATCGCTCATCAGTCAGATTTTAGCGTTAAATAAGCGCAATCGGCAGCACCGCTGCTTGTCGCTGCTGATGGCCCCCGTGAGCGCAATGAAAATTTTCGCTCTCATCAATTGCGCGTAGTGCGAGAGATAGAGAGCGCGCGGATATAAACAGCGAGTGCCCCGGCTAGAAAAACGTGTGGCAGCCGCTACTGCTAGCCTATGCGTGTGTGTGTGCAAAGGAGGTAGACAAATGACAAACGGCCACAGAGCTGAGACAAATCAAATGTAGAAAATACAAATACAATGCTAAGCCCATATTAAGGGCCGGCAACAAATTCTGCTTTGTCATTGCCCACCCATACAAACACACATACACACATGGATACCGTTGCATGCAGATGTTCTCTGTTTGTCCTGCAACTGTTCAAACGCGTAAATCAGTGAAAATATATATACACGTACACACCTACACAAGCACATGAGGCACGCACTTACACACAAACTCGCACACAAAGCACGAAATATGAATAGAGCCCAAAGGAACAGCAACAACAACAACACGGAAAATGTACGCAGCGGGGGCGCGCAGCAGCCGAACGACATGCGACACGAAAACGACGACTCGAACAAGCCAGCAGCGCACATTTGCACAGGTGTGTGCATCTGCATGCGATTGTGTGGCAACGCTGCAGCGGCGAGAGACCAATACATACACATTTCAAATGTATGCTGGCTGCGAAAATCAGTTTTTTTCTTTTCTTTTCTGGGTGCTTGCAAAATCAACGCGGGACACACGCCACTCACACTAAATACAACTACAACAACAGAGTTCAGATACAAAACAAATGTAGCAAGAAGCAGCGGGCGCAAAGAAATGAAAATGTAAATGGCGAACTCGCTACGGCAAATAATTACAAGCACAAATATAAGACATTTTATTGCAGTCGCACTTACACAAACACACACACGCATATAAATGCCATAAGCCCACTAAATATCTGTGAAAATGAGCGAAAATCATTGACAAGACGCCGCAAGCTGCTCTGATCTGTCGCGGTAGAGATGCAGCGACAGCAATTACAATTTTTTGAAAATAGAAACAATAAAAATATATTAAATTAAATTTAATATCACCACCCTCACAAGTTAATTGTTAGCCGAAGCACACACACACACTCACACTCATATGCAATTGCACAAGAAAGACAAAAAGACAGGGAGGCGGCAATAATCATTATTATAATCAAACTTCATCATCAAGCGAAAATCGAGCATCGCCATCACACTCACACACACACACATGCATACACGTATATACATACAACTGCACAAAACTCACACAGCGACAGATAGCGAGGTCCATTTTTAATTATACAAAAAGGTAACGAAAAAGAAGCCACTTCATTGCGAACGCATTTTAATTCACGCTTTTAACTGTATATATACATATATATATTCTTTTTACTTTGATTTCAATTTTATTTTGTCTAGCTATGCCAATTAATTAACACATACACGACACACACATATATATATACATATACATATATATACACATGCACTTGGCCATAATTCGGAAAAAACAATTGAACGTTGACTGCGACTGCGGCTGCTGCTGCTGCGGTCGTCGTCTCGCGAAATACATATTTCTTTTGCCGTTTTTCTCGTCGTTTGGGTTGTCGTTGTCGCCGTCGTCTTGTACTCTCGCTCTCTACTTCTTTCACATTTTTTTCTTCGTTCGAGTGTCTGGTTTTCGTTTCGTCGATTTTGAAAATCATATAACATTTGAAATACGCTCAATACTCGTTTCGTTTTTAGCGCAAATTGTTGCCGGCAACTTTATTTGCATTTTGTTATTACATTTAATTAATTAATCAACTTATTTTTGCCGTTTTACGCAAATTTTTCAGCAGCACTTTGTCAGACATGTACGCACCACATCAAAGACCTCCATTTTGTTTAGCAGCGATTAGAGATGACCGATATACGGTAGGCAGCTCGCAAGTCAAGTATTTTTTAAGTAACGATTAATCGCATTAACATGTACTTGGAAATACGTGCTACTTGTGTGCAAATTTCCGTGTGGATAGAACAAATTGGTTGCAGTTAACGGCTATTTTATTATAGATTTAATTTTGTTGTTTGGCATCTAAGGTCTGAACAGTTATATAAAAAATATGCGGAAAAACGTTTCCGATAACATACTATCGATATGATAGCTACTGTTTCAAGTGCGCGCACTGTGTATGACCGTATAAATTTTGAAATTCGAGAATAAACTTTGCAGCTTCGAGAATTGTATGGAAGTGTTTTCCATGTCTTAAATATTTCCATACTTTTCAATTGTTTATACGAAATAAATATATACTTTTGTTTATGCTACTTTCAGTCTTTTATTGGCTTGACTACTTTTTCTTTCTTCTAGTTCTTCTTCGCTTGCTGTTTCCTTCACTAAAGTATCCATTTCATCAGCCAATTCCTCGTCGCTCTCATCGGAACTGTCGGAAAATACAATTGGTCCTTGACTCTTAACAAACATGATTGTTTTGCCCAAACGGCGTGATTCTGCGCGTAAGAAAAGTTGCCGACAAAACCGATCGATTGCATTTTTGCCCTGATTTTCAGAGAGTCCAAATATGTAGGACCTGTTGAGATATAGGATATAGTAGTTATGAAAAATAAATAATATTATAGAGTACAGTGAAGACTTGCTTGAGAGGACTGCGTATTAGTGGGAGGACTGGTTGAGGGTAATTCATATAGTCTTCACTGTACACTATATATTATATTCTTACAAATTCGCCACATCGTATGGCCCGCGTAGTTGAAATTCATGCAATGCACCGCTACTGAAGATAATATTTCTCGATTTGCCTTTGGTGCAATAGTTCTGTGCCACCTTAATCATATCCTTGCGATTATTCGAGTCTGCTATAGCCGGGGCATACTTTATCTCGAAGTACATGCCCCTTCGCACCGCAATGAGATAAGGTTTACGCTGGATAAGCAAACGAGAGCCGGCAGTTGGATCAAAGGTAATGATATCGCCATTAAAGGACGTGCAGCAGTGCTGTTAGAAGTAAACACAAATTAAATATATATAATGATAGAAATTGATTTAAAACTAGATTTCCATTCAAGTTTTTGTGTGAATTTTAAACTTGATTTGTGCTACGGCGTCTAATCCGCCGTGTTTATTCATCAGCTGTTTCAATAAATAGGGATGACAATAGATTTGAAGGTTTATCGAAAATTGTTATTTTTTCATTTAACTTAATTTAAAGTTAATTAACAAATAATAACAATAACTTTAGCTTCTGCTTGTGTTTCGAAATTTTAGCTGTAGTTTAAAATAATTATTTGCATAAATTAACTATCGATTAAGCAATATTTAAACAAAGCTTATCAATACAAAATTGCAATTTATAAACTGCAGTGAAACCGCGACAAGTGAAAAACAAGGTGCAAAGGAGAAGGTAAAACAAATAACACAATTGCGAGATGCAGTTTATCCACTTACCGTTAGCGCTGCTTCCGTTTTGGGTTGTCCAGCGATTAGGTTAAACTTGCGAAGATTCAACGAAACGCTCTAGAAATTTGATTATTTTAAATTACAGAGTACACACATAAAGTTAATCTCATAGCTTACCATTGCGTGCGCCACATTTGCATCCACATATAAAATAGTTATTCGCTGCAATATCTTTAACTTGTTGGCAAACTCCTTGCGTATATTGTCTATGTTGTGTGGCTCGGGAAACATTTCGGAACCACGTTTACCGGGCTCCTTTTTGCTGTGATCGAAGCTCTGGTCAATTGCTATCGTCTTGTAACCCAGTTCGACCAATTCATTGAGTATGCCACGCAATATCTTGTCATCTTTGTTGTAGGGAATGCAGAAATCGTAAAATCCATTTGTTTGCTCCATTTTCTGTTTAAGCAACAGCTGCAACCGCAAAACGTGCCCACAGCTAGAGTGGCTAACAAAAATTATCGATATTTTTCTATATCGTAAAACGAAACTTAGTCTTGCCGCTAAATTCAAAATTACGCAGTTTCATATATGGGAATGAAGCCTCCTTAAGTTAGTTTGTTGAATAACTATAAAAACAAATTTGACCGGAAAGAAAAAAAATTATTTTTAAAATAAAGCATATTAGCTATTTTATTTTACTATTATGAAATTTTTTTCTAATTTATATTGGTAGCTTTTTTTCTTATCAGTTGTTATTAGCAATCTGTTTAATCAATTATAAATAGAAATTTACTGAGCGATGAAGCTTCACTCATTCATTAGATTCAAATACTACCTTCACTTACTCTAGATGAAAAATGTAAATTCTTAAATTAAATAATTTATAATTTTATCCACGACTTCCACCAACTGTCGACAAATGCGAAAATATATAAAAAATCCAATTTTCCGCTCGCTTTTCATGGATAGAATAACAATTACTTACAAATTAAATATGATTTATAAAGTTGAACTTAATAATAAGAACATGCATTTATACAATATTTTATTTCTTTTTTTATTGAGCATATTTACCCAAAGCTTCAAATTTATTGTAAGAAATTTGTATTTCAAATGCTTTTTAACCTTCTTAATTTCTAACGCCTTTTGCGAACCTGAAAATATGTTTTCAGATTTAAGTTATAAAATTGTAGAGAATTTCAGATGCTTTATGCTCCCTTGCTTCTTTTTACTCTCAGACCGAAGAGCCCACAGATCTGTGCTTGGCGAGAACAGAGTTCAATCTAGTTTGGTTTTGCTTCGATGTACTTTCGGCTGCTTGGGCCTTCCGTGTATGAATGCTATAGAAGAGGGAGGAAATGATTAAGGATAATATTAAAAGTGAAGCTTTGTGAAAAGGATGACAACTTTGACAATGCCCCTTTGCAAAATAAGTTACTACGTGTCTATGTATGTATATAAAAGTATTATAGTTGAAAAGCTCCGATTGTATGACAAATTATGGCGAATATACATATACGCCCATAGGGGGCGTGGCAAACCGCAATCTCCCAGTTTAATTGACAGCACTCCTTAACCAAATCAAAGCTCCTGATCGCTTTTCACAGTTAGATCTACACTTGTTTCTACACTCACACTTTGTGCCTTGTCAGTGCGTCCTTGCGGGCAAAGGACTTTCCACAGGTGTCGCAACAATGCTTATTGTCTTCATGCGAGGCCGTATGACGCGTCAAATTATCCTTGCGCTGAAACATCTGGTTGCAGCCTTCATATTGACAGGGATAGACATTGACAGAGCCATGGGCAGTTCTGGAAGGGGAATATCGATTAGCGCCTCCACACTTTATTTCAGAGATTCATTTACTTACTTGAAATGCCGTCGTAGCGATTCGACTGTTGTGAACATTTTCGTGCAATTGTTGCAGCCCCACGAAACGATGGGTGCATCGGGATCGTTCTCCTTGTGCGTGTTTAAATGTCGTTTCAATGCCGCCTTATACCAGAAGGCCTTGCCACAGCCGGGTTCATTGCATTTGAAGCTCTTATTTGCATCCATTTGAAAATTCTTTGCATTTATTTTGCGTTTCTCAGCAGCAAATGCCAAGTCCAGATCCACGTAAAGAAAAGTAAAACTAGCTAATGCTGCACGTTATTTGGAATCACTCAATAGCAGGATTTGTCGCTAGCTATATTGCCGTTTCTGATTATTATTTAAAATTTGTTACAATTTAATGAATAAAATCATTTGTTATTTTTTTTTGTCTTGACACAGATGTGTTGATTGATTGAATACAAAACAGTTCAGTCGGAATTGGTTCACGAGCCTGAACCACTGATTATTTAACAGAGGTGATTTGTATTACGGTATCGGTAAATTATCGAAAAATACTAAAAATACTATGTACTAAAATATTTCATGAAATAGCTAAGATAATAAATAAAAATACTTATTAATGCATACTGAGCAGAATTCAAATTTAACGAAAGTAACGGCGATTAAAATAAACACAATATGAGAATTGCAATAAAACATTATAATGTAAGAATGACTAAATGAATGGAACAATTTAATTATAAATGAATGCCAGTTTAGCTAAGTACTTGTTTAAGTACTTTTTGAATAAATGAAAAACTTTTAATATTTTGTTTTTGGTTTTGTTTTTTGTTATGTTTTTATATTTTTATGTGCACAGCAAGGCATAGGAACAAGCGCACGCATAATTTCCTACATTAGACAGTACAAATTCACTACGATCCCTATTCCGATATCAAGAAACACTATCAGCTAATGGTGGGTCGTCACTTTCCATTGTTGTTGGACTCGTAGCTGAAACAATGGAAACGGAATCATTGTTATTTTCTTGCTTGCAATGGGCTTCGAACTGCTTAGCCTTGGCGCGTCGTGATTTGATGAGTATGCCATGTCCGGGACAATCACAATCATCCGCATAGCATTTGTCTCGGCAGCAAATTCGGCATAGACGAAATTCACACTTGGAACCCAGGGGATTGGCGCACTGCTCGCAATATTCGAGATGACGTTCGTGGCGCAGCTGGCACTGTGCATCCGTTTTGATAGGGCGTCGCTGGCGACGTCTCAGCTTCTTCATGCGCTTCCTGGATATTTCATTGCCAGCATTGTCAAAATATTGTCGCTTTATGCGATTCGGATCGACGGCTTCGCGTTGTTTTTCAGCGATTTTCTGGCGATGTGATTCAGGTGAGGCGCGAATATAGGGCTGGCACAACCAGGGCTGTAGCATGGGCAACTGTAAGTCGGGATTAGTAATTCGATAGCTCTTAAGTGATTCTAATAATTGATATCTTACCTCTTCTATTCCCCCCGCACTCATATTCAGTTCCATTTCTTCCGGCTCATATTTTGCCATTCCCGTATGATATGGCTCATATTTCTCCTGCACCTTGGCCACAACGGCATGGAATTGAGTGAGCTGATTGCCCGTTGCCAGCTGTTCCCTTAACTGGGAATTGGAACGTATATTCATGCTGCAAGGGATAACGATTAGAATAATCTATTTACTGTCTACATTATTTATGCTTACATATGATGAAACAGCTTGAAGAGATGTCCACGTATATAGGATGTGGGACAGGGATATTGATCAACGAATTCTAAGTACTCCTTGGCCATTTGCCAGACCGGTGGTGCAATGCCCTGAAAGATTGCTGGATTATGCAGATTGCCCTCAGCACTCATTACTCCATCAACGCCCGTCTCGTCCAGACAACGATGCACATCATCCAAGCCCAAAATGTTGCCATTGGCAAACATGGGTATCTTAATATGCTCTCGCACATCTTTGATGTAGCTCCAATCCGCAATGCCTGTCAGAGGTCCTTTCTGCTCACGAGTCCGCCCGTGGATGGTCAGCAACTGACAGCCGGCAGCCTCTAGCATTTTGGCATATTGAATTGTCTTCTCCCGATCCTCGAATCGGCGTATTTTACAAGTCACCGGCACAGAGAGTTTCTCATGCAGCGTTCGCACTGCAATTGAATTGAATTTAAATTTAATGGTTTCTAATACATGGATGCATAAAATATTTACCAATGTCTGTGAGCAGCTCCCATTCGTCCTGCAGAAAGGAGCCGTAGTGTCCACGCTTGGCAATCGCCTGTGGACAGCCTAGATTGATGTCCACAGCATCGCAATGATCTTGTGCAGCTAAAGCAGCCTCCAATATTTGCTGTGGATCGTTACCGCAGAATTGTATAATCAATGGTCGATCCTCGGGACAGGTTTGCAGGGCATCCTTGCGATACTTCAGATCGGTGGCAAACAGATTCGCATGATACATGGGTGAATAGCAGAGCTGTGCCCCGTAACGCCGGCAGAGCATACGCCAGGCCAATTCACTTTGATCCACCATTGGAGCAACCACATAGCGTGGTGAGCCCAACACCCGGTGATAGAAATCATAGCCAGCCAGCTTGGGCTCACGGATTTCATTTACCATTTCTGGCAGCTGCAATTTCAATGAATTGAAAATTAAAGACACATTTTAAAGCTATTTAAGATATTCTTAATACAATTTTGCCACATATCTCGGAGAGCTTCTATATTAAATTCAATTATATTTCTAAAAATTAAGTTTCCCTATTTAAATGAATTTGTTTAAGTACATCGATAAACGATAGCACTTACTTGCACATCTCTCATCTTCCCATTTGCAGCGAATTTTCATATCGATCCTTTGAGCAATTATCACACATGCTGCTCACATACTTGTTATTGCCCGCGGCGAATTCATTTTTTACTGTTCTTTGACATATGAAGCGGCGTAATTGACAAACTTTTGCACTGCTGCGCGCAATTGTGAAAAAGCCGCTGGGAGTAATTTTTTTTTCCAACTGCTACACACAAGCTAATTAGCGGCACATTAGCTTTTTGCTAAAATATATGAAAATGGAGGAGAAAAACCTAGGTGCGGCCGTGCGGCAGCAGTTATACAAAGCGCCAAGCCAAATAAATTTACAAGGGCCACCAACTGTGGGCGGTTTTGACGAATTACTTTAAGTTCGCTCCAATTACGAGTGCATGTATGTACATATGTCTGTATGTGTAAGAATGTATGTACATATGTACGTTTCTCTGTGTGTGCGCGTGTGTAACAGTGCCCTGAACAGAGGCCGGCTTGTATTTTCACTTTCCACACGATGAATTCGCTTTCGAGCGAACCGCGTGCAGAGCAGCGTTAACAAAATGCGCTTAAATTCAGTTACGAGGCAAATGCAACAATAACTAACAATGAAGCACTAATTGAGTTATGCTACGAGTTGCATGCACTTGCAAGTTGCAACGCGCTACGCAGCTTAACGAAATTTTCAATTCAGCCATCGATACCCATCAGCAGACACCGCGGCAAAGTTCGTTTAAGCCGCTTAAAGTAGTTACACAAAAATGCACTGTAGCAAATTTTAAGGCTATTCATTTTTTTATTGCAAATAAACATGAAAAATACAAATTTTACATGATCACAAATCTAGGTTTTTCAAAAGTAAGTATATGTACATATGTATTTAGGTATATTATATTTTGAACTAAATTTATATTCAATTTATTACAACGTACAGAGAACTTGCATAACTGTAAATCTGTTTCGCCGTGCTACATGCACACACAACGAGAAAAACTTTTTATATTGAAAGTTTACTGACCGGAATTGGCATTGCAATATTATCAATAGCAGCAGCAAGTTCTGCTCATTCTCTGCCGCAACTCTGCGCGTTAGAGCGGAGACTTTTCGTTCAATAAGCACAAATGAACAGAAGCTCTAGTTCCTGAACAGCTACTAATATGCTGCGTTCAGCTTGAAAAGAACCTGTTGTGAACGCAGCGACTCAATTCTAATGCGTGCCAAAGCTTCTCCGTCTTTTGCAACTTCTAGAAATTTTCGCAAGTTGAAAAGTTTTTCTTTTCTCTATTTTTAGACTCATTCACGAAAGTGAAATGAGTATATTGGTTTTGTGCAATGTCCGTCTTGCTGTCCGTCCGTCTGTCCGTCTGTCCGTCTGTCCGTCTGTCCGTNGAGTGTGTGCACATGTATAGTAAAATCGCGCTGATCTGCTGCTAGCTTGAAGCCGGTATCCAATATATGGATATAAATACATGTATATTATTAAAAGTCAAAATTGTATAAATTATATACATATGCATGTAATTTGAATGCAATTATGCAATGATCATAGCAATAGCTATCGATGATTTTCCCATTTTAAATGGGATCATGCCCTGTTTTTTGTTGCGCACTAGACTTGAAAATTGCACTATATACTCTGGTTGACAGCGTTTGGGCTGTGAATGAGTCTTCTGCAATCGGTATCGCCCGACTGCAACGTTCTTACTTGTTTTATTTATTTTTCGCTGACAATGCAAGGCATTTGCGTGTAATTAAAGTTCTTAAATGTAGCAAAAAGTTTTCGCTTTCGGCCGGAAATGTAAATTGCATAAGTATTGCGAAAAGGCGGCGCTGGGCGTGCCGTGGCAGCCATGACAGATGTTGGCTGTGTCATAATTATGCCCAAATTACGAGAAACTTGCCCAGAGGCAACGACAACATTTAGCCTAAGGGGGCGGCGGCATTGTTGTCTGTCTGTGCTGCACAAATGGGCATTTCGCAATTAAAAACTTTTCCGAAAAGCCAGACGCTACAGAGGGAAAGATGGAGGAAGAGAGAGAGAGAGAGAGAGACGGAGAGAGGGAGCACAACTGCAACAAGAGGAAACTTGTAAAACATTGTTTTCAAAGGAGCAATCGCAGGCTAAAATTATTCAAAACTTTTTCTTGAATGCTCTCTCGGCTTGGAAAGGGAAACTAAATGAATATAATCAATATATAAATGTAATCGATAAAAGTTGAAATTTAAAAAGTGTAGAGAAGAGAGATAAGCTTATAGATTGAAGCCCAAAGTATAAAAAATATATATATTCAAAGTTTCATATATAAGTTTCCATAGTCTGGATAAGAAAAGATTTAGTTTATTTTATAGACCTTTTATCTTTATTTCAACTCTTCTTAACCAAACACAAAAGAAATTCTCCTCAACTTCCCACAAAGAAATTCTAAAGCACAACATAACCTCACTGCTCTATAGAGTATCTGCAACAATGTAATTGCTTGAACCGCAAAAAGTAACCAAAACAAAAACCCGTAATGCACTTTACTTGAGTAATTAGAAGACCGCAGATGAAGCC